CGGTGTAGATGTCGAGAATAGCAAATTGCCCAAACTAACGTCACATGTAAGATGACACGTACAACTTTGAGAGGGCGGTTCAGAACTCTCAAGAAGTAAATTTTCCGTATGCCTGTGATGTTTATCAACTGGATATACGAATCTCGAAGCCTACAGATATCGAGAATTAAACGTTTAACTTCATATACTCAGTAAGAGGTGACTGACTTATGGACGATTTCACGCCTTATCATCATCATCATCAACAGCAGTACATCAGTCATTTGAACTGATGCTTCGCTGCACTACAACCATAACAACCTACGGAAGGAAGAATAATAACAGGGAAAGAAGCGGGAAACCATAAAGCCCTAAGTGAACATTCAGGGTCAAGGCACCTACACCGTGTCAACAACATACTGTCACAGACAGCTAGCTATCGTGAAAAAATAAGGCAGCATCGGCAAGACAGACAGCTTCCTTACAGCTTTCACTGCCTGGCGTCATAATCAACCAGTACCTCGCAGATAGCTCCAAATACACTTGAAACAGACAACCCGACAATGAGACGACAGAAGACCTGCCACTGGTATCGACTGCGAGACATGTCCATTAAAGTCACGAGCCAAGCACAAAGCGAGTGACGTGGAATTCATCCTGGAAAACATCCAGGTTGGTCGTCGGTGATTTCATTTCCTGATGCCGAGTCAACTTCTGTCCACCTCGAGCCTTGCGTCACCCTACATCCGGCAGACAAAACAAAGCTCTCCTAGGTAAGCGGTGACCCGGCATATGTACCCAAGCCAAGATAACTTATCCATTTGTATCTATATGTATCTATATGTTGTTCTAAGGGACCAGGTTCATTATCAGTGCCTAGCATTTGCCTACGCACATCATCGTTGTGGTCACGCTGGTGCCACCGGACACCAGCAATGCTCAGCAGACAACGATGATCAAAGAAGTGAAGGCGCCTTAGATCCTCAGATCGAAGGGGTCACGTTTCACTCGCATATAGTAGGAAGGCTCTCACTGTGGCCTTGTAAACAAAAGTTAGACCGAGGGAAACTCCTTTCCGACGTCACAGATTCAAGAAGACAGTTCCGGCTTTTGCAATACGTGAAATGACTTCAGTTGCCATGCGTCCGCCGCTGTTGATACAGCTGCCAAGGTAAGTGAATTGATCAACTACCTCAAGTTCCTCGCCATGTAGGATCAGAGGATCAGCAAGTGGCTAGTGGTCCTGCAGCAACACTTTGAGGGTGCGAAGCGCATATCAAATAACGGGGCCACTGTAGACAGGCTATTCAGGGTTGATAGCATTGACCCAACATCGTTAAATAGCAAGACGATATTGTCCGCATAATCAAGAACAAATAGCTTTGCACCAGGCAACAACTCAACGCCTGCTTCGTAAGATTCCGCAAGGGAAGATTCCATGTTGGAGTCTACGAAGAAATTAAACAAAATTGGGGAAACTGGACAATCTGACGAACGCCACTTGTTGTCGGAAAGCTATCCGACAGGTCACCGTGGACCCTGACGTGGCCTGTAGTGTTTGAGTACAGGACAGGTAAAATGTACACATATATCATGGGGACACATGTTCGCACAAAGATTTCGTACAGAATGCATCGATCGAATGAGTCGAACGCACCCTTGAAGTCGATGAACACAGCTATTGTTGGTCTGCGATATGTGTGGTGCTGCTCTGGCATTTGGCTGGCTTGCCGAACAATCTCATCGTGGTGTGAGCTGGGCGGTTCGGGATTATCCTGCTCCAGTCAATGGTTCGGCGGCAGTGTTCCAGGAGGTGGTGGGTTTTCACCTGACAAGCGTTCATCCTATAAAATACCACATAAGTCCGTCTAACAACACTGCGACGTGGCGGATGTGACTCACCACTAAGTAAAGTCACCGCCCCTCGCTACACCCCGACGGAGCATTGTATTCCAGCACCATATTGCTGAAAGTATGGGGAGGATTGGGTCCTCGTTTGATAACCGAGCAAACGAAAGGCGTAAGAACTGAACAATCAATCACCGGCTCCCAATGGATGCGGTTCCCTGAATTCGCCCCGCTGCCTTGTGGGTGGGCTATTTAGTTAAAGGCCCGGGGTGGGGTACCTTAAGTCAACTCCCTACTTCGGCTTGGGCAACCGAGTAGTATCACGCCCTCGCACAAAACCATGGACTGTACTACAACGTGCTCATCTACCACCCTTTCTGCTTCTTGCAGTCACGTGGCTTCATCACACGCCAAATGTTTGCTTGTTAACAATTTTTACATTCCGTTACCCAATTCCCGTGTTCAAAAAATCTGGCTGCGATTCCGGTTGCGCCGTGAACCATGGAGTTCAACTTACGGTCGTTCCGTCTAGCGTGCTTCAACGTTCGAACACTCATGCAGATTGGACAGCAAGCCAGTCTAGCGCGCACCCTAAGGTCTCTCGATATTGACGTCTGCTGCCTTTCTGAAACCCGAGTGCATGACCCCGGCACTGTGTTTACGATAACATCCCCCACTGACCATGAAACCAGATATTATCTGCGTCTTTATGGAGAACCAGAAGCGGCCTTAGCGGGTTTGGCTGGTGTAGGTATAACACTAAGTGCCAATGTCGAGGAGGCACTATTGGACTGGTTCCCGATTAACAGCCGACCGTGTGCAGTTCGGCTTCGGGATTCATGTAGAATCAACAAGCGTCGCAAGAAGAGACGCAACTTGTTTCATGCCCGCGCACGCTCTAAATGACCGCAGTATGGGCTCGGTCAAGGACGACTTCTATCGGGAGTTTCATCAGCTCCTGACGAACGCTAATAAGTCGGATGTCGTTGTCCTTGCTGGGGATTTTAATGCACTGGTCGGCCAATTGTTATCATACGAGTGTCACCTTAGTGATCACCATGCCGTTGATGAGGACCGCTGTGATAACGGAGAGAGGCTTCTCACATTGTGCGAGGACAACCATCAGTTTCTCTTGAACATCGACATCAAGAATACGAAGAAAGCGTTCCGCAACTTGGCGTCACGCTTCGCCAACACAACCGTGGTCTCAGATAGATCACATTGCAATCAGCTTCAGATGGCGTGGCAGCGTACAGGATTGCAGGTCCTTTTAGTCCACCCTCACTGACTCGGATCATGCAGTGCATGCGCGAAAATCTGCATGTTTTGGGGGTCACCAAAAACGAAGCATCGCGAGATTTAGGTAAACAGATTAACTGATTCCTCGGTCCAGACGAGCTATTACTCCTCAGTAGTACATGCACTCCGTTGCAATAAACCGCAAGACATAGAGCAACACTGGACCTGTAGACAAAAAGCGATGACCATTTCCAGACAGTCAAGCTGAAACCTAGCTCGACACCCCTTAAAGGCTTGGATCTCTGCTCGTTCTCTGGAGCCGTTCGAACATCGCAAAAATATCCCGGCGGAATCAGATTACAATGAGCAACGCCGCTCTGCGAACCGACTGCTCAAGCAAAGCCTATGAAAGGATCGCGGTATGGCGATCTGAGCGGGTTTTAGAGATGGAGACCGCTG